CGACAAAAAAATTTTACTGTCATAAAACGATAAATAGTTTGTCAAATTTTTATTCATAAAAATGCAGTTTCAACTGCTTTTTATTTTTATAAAATCCGTCTTCTTGCGCCATCAGAGGGCCTTTTAAACAATAGGTAGTCTGTTAGCGTTGGTCAGTAGTAGTCCAGATTCAATACGAACGTTTGTTTCTTGGAAATTTGATCACGATTTAAATACAGTATTTACTTTTATTATTACCGATATGTCATCGAAAAGAAAACGTGTTGTATTATCATTAAAAGACAAATTAAAGTATTTGTTTCGATTATCCGGATTTTTCCTTATCCGGACTACCTTCATCCCCAATTAGTCCGGATAATCGAGGTTCTACTGTAATTTTGTACATATTCATTTCAACTTGCACAACCCGGAGAAATATTAATTAACCCCGGAGCCCGAAGATAACTCGCTCAATCCCGGAATCTCCGGGTCAAACCCGGACAGGTGGCAACCCTATCCGTGGGTAGAGAGTCTGGGTTAGGCTCTCTACCACTTAATCGGCGACGCAATCGGTAAGACTGGTCCTCAGAGTCGAAGGATGGCTTTTTCGAGTTTACGTTGAACACGATTCGGAAAAATCAAGATCTTGTCTGGATTGATACCATTTAAACTATTTTTGTCGCGGTTTAACTCGCGTATATAAAAGATGATTACTAGGAGGACTATTTCTACAAGTGGAGCGTTGCGTAATTGACAAATAGTTCGAGCTCAATAAATGACACAAGTCGAATAAACAACATAACAAATATGTAAATTTTCGTCTAATGGAGATTATTATTATTAATTAAAGACAGTCTGCCCAAAAAGGGGCCACCATTTATAACTTGAGTAACTTTTGCAACAGTTATTTCTTTTTATCTACTGCAATTTTCGTGCCATCTTCGATATCATTTTTTAGTTTATTCTCCTTTATTTCTTCTGTTATATCAATCATCATTGGTATTGATGTACTGGTAAATAGGGTACGTCTTCCTTTCCCAATTCTGTTTGAGCATTTGATGTAGCCGTCGAAAAAGTCAAAATTTTTCTATTGCACCCGGCCATTTTTTTGTTCCGCTTCTTTTGCTAACTTTTTTTTATATTATATACAACTTCCAGATAACTTTTTTCTTTTTAACTCTCTCATTTTAATGCAAAAATTACATTTTTACTTCAATATGATAGAAAAACCCATAAATAAACCAATTTAATGATGAAAGAATTTTGTTTTTACAAAATATATAGTTACTGTTAAAATTAAAATGAAAACAGTCCAAAGGTCAATAATTATTAAAACAATAAAATTTCCAGAATGATTTCAGTTAAAAATCAAACAGAATATAACAATCCCACGTTATCCATGGTGGTTAGTCCTTACTATTGGCCACTATTTCGAGGATAATAAGACCAGATAGATTATAGGTTGGCCGTGGGGAGGTTGAGGCGGCGAGATGGGGACATGACACGACAGCCTCGCCACTCAACCGAACAGCGGACCCTGTATATAAACGATAACAGTTGTGGTCTGATTGCAAATTAAGTAATGCTACCAGAAAGCCTACAATGGCTATCTCAGTATCCCGTAAAAAAGATCACAAACTTGCATTGTATTCGTAATTTTTACTGTACCTGTTCATTGGATGTTCTCGAACCTCAAGCATGCCTGCATGGCATATCTCAGATGTTAAACACAGCTGACGAAATTTGAGAAAGACTGCAAAGTTGAGCTAAAACAAGCAGAAGGACCACTGTACCAAATTCCTGTCATCTGGATTTTTTTATCTGATTGTAAGGAGGTGTTGGGGTATTAAATACGTGAAAGCACACGTATGTAGAAGGGAGGATCTAAACATCTCGAAAACGCAACCAGGAAAGATTATCATTTAATCATGAGACATTATAGAACAGTGGCATACAAACAAATATCAAAACACAGGGAGATTGTCAGTATCGGCGTTGCTGCATATACGAGATTTCATAGATATAATTGTCTACGGACAGAATAAGGGGATGAATAGTGGTTTGGCTACTAGGCCTTGTGCGGCCTAGTAGCCTTGCAGATATGAAGTGAAGGTGTATGAAAACAGAGATAGAGTGAAAGCAAAGGGTCAGTTGATAAGAATGTTGTTGAAACTTGGTAAGATCTTACTACTTCAAGAGTTTAACTGTTCCAGCAACTTCTGGTTGCCAGTTACAGTAAGATGATTCTAAGCTTTCATCACTCATAAATGTGCTAATGAGATTCAGAATGACTGAAAGTGGTCAAGCGTAAGCTAATGAACAATAATATCTGAAATAATATTTTAAACTATTTAATATAATAAAATTAATATTTATCAAAATGTTGTATTCTCAAGGTTTTGTCAATTAATTCGAGATATTATCTTAATAATTTCTTTTTACTTTACAATATTTTATGTACAATATTTTAAATTACAAATTATATATACAAATGTAATAGTTTCCACTAATTATTAGGAAACCTTTCATTATTTAAATGTGCTCATATCACCATAATATATTCAATCAGATTCAACACCCTGAAACCCTCAACACAGTAATTTCTTCTGGTACGGTCACAATGGTAATGTAATAGCTTTAAAATATATTACAAACAGACAATGAAAAAATAGACAACTTTTTCTTACAAGTAACACTAGAAATGAAGATAAAGGGCGTTAGAAAATAAATTACGTAAACTGACAATGCATTAAAAACATGAAAACAAAAATTTAATGAAATAGGTTAAAAAATATTGAATAAAATTAAAACACACAAATATGAACAGCATAATGCACATTCACGTTCATACTCTCAAAGAAAAACTTTTAGGCTAGTCACAAAGACACAAATTATACAAATCTGTACACTACGAAAACATCAAAATACTTTCAGCAAAGAAAAGCTTGTATACAGGCATATAAAATATAATAATCATGTTTTACTAAAAAAAAACGTACACGATATTCAAAATTAGTACAAAACACATCGTTAAAACATGTGTAAAACACATGGTTAAAACTTACAATTTCTCGGACAAAAAAATTACATTCCTGCACTTAGAAATAATCAAATACTTTACCAATAATTCACAAAACATGCAGTGACAACACTAAAAATCCCATATACTACAAACAAATGACACGCCTTCAAATGCTAGAAAATATTTTCATCTTGTATCAAAAAGTAAAATATGCACTAGCAGTTGAGTCCGGCGTTACTCGGGCAAAGAGTAATGATAGCAAAGATTAAAATTATTAGATTATATCTGATCTTACCCGTTTGCTCCGGGTGCAAGAGTTAGGTCCCTCTTTTCCGAGGCTAATTAAAGAATTTTTAAATGAATCTAAAAATATGTTCGATTTCCCGCATCTAAAATAGTACAGTAGAAGCTGAGTTCTTCAGGGTAATCTTTAACCTTCTCGTTCTCCGCGGGGGAGGATTTCGAAAAATCCTTCTTACTGTAGTACATTCTCATAACGTAACCTGTGTACCAAATTTCGACTTTTCACTCCTAACCGTTTGGACTCTGCGCTTATTATTGATATTATGAACCCGTCTCGATTATATTGTAAGATATAGAACAACACAACATTCTCACCTAAAAACAAAAATACTGTCACAGAAATCTCATAGATGAAAAAACTATTGACAGCGTTTCATATTCATGGTTACTGCATACACTAAATCTGTACAAAATGCGTCAACACTCATTATATTTCTAGAAAACAATGGAGAACGACACTAATACTTCAGACTTTACAACATATACATCCAAACGAATCATATAAACATTATACGAGGCATAAATTCATTAATTTCGCTCTCTCTTTAAACTTTCTACAAGGACGGTTTTTTTTTTCAAGCTCCGATGGTTTCTAAAGACAAGTGTAAAAGCAAAATGAATTTATTACCAAAAGTTAGGTACAAACATGGTTATTTTTCGACATAATCATCGTAAAAATTGAGGAATTTGTCATATCTGTGGACGAGCTTTTCCATCCCCTTGTCATAGAATGTCGCCGCCAGTGAATTAAGATGGCCTTAACAACGTTTTGAAGATCGTCATTAGTCTCGAACCTCTGCCCTTCTAGCCAGATTTTCAGTTCAGGGAACAAGTGGAAGTCTTCACACGTTAAAGGTGTGTGAAGACTTCCACACAGCTTGGAACTTTTTAAACACCCAGCGTATAGCCCCGATTTAGCGCCGAGCGACTTCCACCTTTTTTCTGAACAGAAAAAGTGGCTCGGAGGGCAGAGGTTCGCGACTAATGACGATTTTCAAAACAACGTTAGGGCCCATCTCTAGTCACCGGCGGCAACATTCTATGGCAAGGGGATTGCAAAGCTCGTCTATAGATATGACAAATGCCTCAATCTTCACGGTGATTATGTCGAAAAGTAATCATGTTTGTACCCAACTTTTGGTAATAAATTCATTTTGTTATTTACACTTGTCTTTTTTATGGACCATGGGAACTTGAAAAAAAACCAGCCTACGTATAATTTAAAAAATTAATGATTTTATCAATATCTGGAAAATGCCATGTCTAATCTAATGTTATGTGATTTGTTTTGATATATATGTTGTAATGTCTGAGGTATAGTGTTTTTCTCCATTGTGTTTTCTAAAAATATAATGAATGTTAATGTTTTTTGTATAGATTTAGTCTATACAGTATCAAATGCTGTGAATTGTTTTTGGTATCCTATGTAGTTTATATGAGTATTTGTTGTTGTGTTATTAGCATATTGTGCTGTTCTTAAAAAGTAGATATCTAATAATTTATGCAGAATATAGAGTTTGGTTTCTAGGCAATGAGACTTTTTTATTTTTGTCTGTTTAAAAAACTGCAATGTAGCACAGTAATCAACACATGGCATAACTCATTCATTTATTCCAGCTTTTGTTGATCTGTTTAAAAACTGCAATGTAGCACAGTAATCAACACATGGCATAACTCATTCATTTATTCCAGCTTTTGTTGAGACGCGTTTCTATACACGTTTCGGGCTCCGTTTTTGCCCCTCCTCAGTCAACTAAAACATATAAAAACCAATTATATACGTATTATAACCCGACATATGAATTAAAACCACAAAAATAAAAGTATATTTCTTTGGTATATACAAGTAAGACACAACATACCATTTTTTAAAAAATTCCTTCTCTGTATGTATTTTTTTCCGAACGGGAATCATACTCTATATACTTAATTATTTCAGATACCAGGTTGAATATTTAATCTCACCTCTTCACGCTTCAGACATAGACTGTCTTATTTAAACTCTACTATATTTTGAAGACTATAAATAACAACACCATTAGTGTACTCAACATGTAGGTATTAACAATATACAGGATTTTTTCTCTTACATACTTAGTTACAGTAGAGTTCTTGAGGTGTCACAAAGGGTTACAATGGACATGTGGTAGAGTTCTTCTTTTTCTTATGTTCCTTATAATTATTCTGTCCTTATCTTCTTTGTATCTTATTCGTTAGTGTTGGAATATTAATACTATTTTATGTACAATTAATATTAAGGTTTCTTTCTATTAATAGTTTACTATTATAACATAAAGGTAAATAGTTCTTACCTAAACAAATTTGCCACACTTCGCAGATTTTAGTTGCTCTATTTTTTCACTGTTGTTTGTATCACCATACTTTCCTCTGAAAAATTTTTCGTATAAAAATACCTCAGAAGAACTTAGTTTTTAGTTGAACCTGAGTATTATACTACATTCCAAATTTATCCTTACATACTCGTTTACTTAGGTTTTCTTAAGTATCTGGAAGAGCCTCTAATGAGCTTCTAGCACATTTTTCCTTCTCTAATATTTATATCGATACTAATTCATATAAATTTTATATTATTAAACTTGTCATTTTTATCAACTCTTTGTATTTATGTATTATTATTAATAATCCTTACCGAAGTAACTAGAGTTCGCTTTCGTAATTCCGTTCTTTCAACTCTTTGATTCTAGAGGCGTTTCCATTCTATGATGATTTACATAACTATATGGTTTTCGGTAGGCAAGATTTAATTATGTTTCTTATTTCTTTTAAATACCATTCCAAAGTATTTTAAATTTTTTCCTTTTTATTTTCCAAAAATTCTCCTTTTTTTAAATAATTTTTCTTTCCAAATTCTTTTACAATATTTTTAGCCAATTCTCGTTAATTTTTAAACTTAAGTTTTTATTTATACAATGTCTATTTTTTATAATTTCTATACTCTCTTTAAATTTTCTGTGATAAGTTTCTTTTTCTTTATGTAAGATTTTTACATTATTTTGGTCAATATTACAGTTATTCAACGTGCAATGTTGGATAACAGGGGCAAAAACGGAGCCCGAAACGTGTATAGAAACGCGTCTCAACAAAAGCTGGAATAAATGAATGAGTTATGCCATGTGTTGATTACTGTGCTACATTGCAGTTTTTTAAACAGATATAAAGATACAACACGGTTTCGAAATATGGAAGACTTTTTTATTTCTTGAGTATTTGAATTAATGTCATAGAATGTTTTGTTTTACAGCGTTACGTTGATATTTATATGAAATACTACATCAAATAAATAAATGTTTTAGTAGACTATATAATCATTAAAATTTAGGTCTATTCTGTTAATTTAGTTTAATTAATTAATATACAACCTGTTTTACTATTGCAATTTGAATGGAACAGTAAAACACAACAATAATAACACTATTATTAATATTATAATGTAATACTGTGTTATAAATTTTAATTAGTAAATAATACAATTTCCGAATTTGAATGTATTCGAAAAACATAACAGGAATACATTTATGAGATAATTTTTAAATATTATTTTCCGTATTATTATTTCAATTAGATAAAATTAAGTTATAAGCTCTTTATATGTATAGTGTGTATGAATCATAAAATGTATAAAAATACAATTTATAATGTTTGGTTTTTAGGGTCCTGGATATCCTGTAAGTTTAAATATTAATTTTTAAATATCTTAATCTTTTAATTATTTAGATCTTTAATCCTATATATATAAGAGTTATTTAATTCTTATTTTAATTCCTGCAGATATTACCTCTCATATAATGTGCTTGAGATAAAACTTGGCCACCTATGGTTAACATGCTTTTTATAATGCCGTATGCTTTTAATGCGTTGTACTCACTATTAACGTCTCTGCAACCCTCCTTATAGCGCTTCATTTAACGGACGCAAGTAAATTGCAATCATACATTCGCACTAACTGTGTCAAACCACCCATGAAGAGTACTATTTTGCTAAGATAGAAACCGTTTTCATTAAACGGAAAACCAGATAGAAAAGCTCCAAGTATGAGGTAAGGACTACGTCATTGTGTGATGTGGATTACTTAGTGCCTCAGGAGCCAGAATAAACATTATTGAAATCTTCAATTCTGAAGATATTTGAGGTTTAAGTATTTAGTTGTTTGGATATATTCAGATTAACGTAGCTATCTATTTTGATGGAAATCTATCCTGGCTTTTTTAACATAGATCATATGAAATCACAAAAGCTGCGCTGAAAAGACAGTATTCAAGGAACAGCTTTCGTGCACAATGGCTGTTTCTAATAAGTTATCTCCAAAGTAAAAATAAAAACTTATATAACAAGTGGATCTGCAACATGCAGACTTTATTTTGTCGAAAACAACAATTATGCGATAAGTTAATCCAGAATATTAATGCTCACAAATTTAATTCCTTTCTGATTAAATGCAAGTTATTCTGGAAAAACAGCGCTCTTAATTTGTCGAATATGAAGTGATCTTAAATAACTCGACGTTGTTTTAGTTTCTAAACGGTTCAGTTGAGTGGTTGTTTTTACAGTAAACCTAAACTGGTTTAAACTTACATCTGGTTAGGGGCCGTCCATAAATTACGTAAGGTGTTTTGGTGGGTGGGGGTAAAGGATTTCTTACTATTTCTTACTCAGGGGTAGGGGGTAATAGATCTCGTCTTAGGTAATATTCTTATTTTTATTTTTTGATCTCGTTGAGTGGTGGCGTTTTGAATTTGGCTTCAATTTGGCGGTTTCTATTAAGAACGCTGGTTGTCTCGTGTGACGTGATAGAGTAATAACGCTAGCAGATTTACGCTCTACACATTTTCTGTCATGGGAGAAAGGCCGTGTGGTGGTTTCTCTCTCTTGTTTTTTATTAGAATAAGTGCACCATTCCTTTGGGTTGTATAACACTAAGAATACATAAACCAAAATGCATAATACAAAGTAAGCATAAAATTAGTATTCGGCTTTCAGTGAAAACTAAAATGTAAAACCAGAAATTATAAATAGTCTTTTCTTTCATATTTTTTAACATCATTGTAAAAAGCATGAAATAGTGGTTTCTGAACAAGCTTATCGAGTGGACGTGGCCACCCGAAACCAAGCGTAAAAATTTCTAATCTCAGAATAAGTGTATGTTGATCGTAAATTGGACAATGATAGATCATATAGTCGACGGTGTCTAGGTTTTCTGTACACAAAAGCAAGGAGCAGTTTCTGCCCGGTTATACATCGCTTGGTAGCTTCTAAAATTACCATGCTCAGTAAGTAGTTGAGCAGTAGCAAACGTTAAATCTCTAAGTAGTGATGAGAACCTGCATTCAACACTAGGAAAATAAAGTCTTGTTATTCTACCAGTTTTACTGCTTAACTACTTTTACTGGTTCCACTTTTGCATAACGTTGTTACGAATATAATTTTTAAGGCTGCTACGTGAGAGAGGGATGCGAATGTAGTCCAAATCAGTGTCCTTAGCCTCAAAGTCGTCTTTTTCATTTCCTAGTATGCCAGTATAGCCAGGAACAAATATAGAAGTTATCTTATTTACATGGTTTTTAATATGGTGCTGGATATATGCGATTTTATTGCTATTGCAATTGGGATTTAATAGAGCTTTTAGGACAGACAGAGAATCACTGTAAATGTTGATAGACAGAGTTTCGTTTGGTAGTGAAGTGGCCCACTGAACAGCTTGGTAGTCGGCATCTTCTTCAGCTTAATAGATGGAGGTATGTTGGAGGTATCTGTACCTTCTAACATATTTTTGGCAAAATATGTCAGTTTGGATGAAGATACAGATAATTGAGCCGAAAAGAAGTGAACTTTTGGACCCATCTGTGAAGATATTAATGTCTGCGTGATTATCCATGGAGGAAGCAGATGACACCAAATAACCTTGTTCACAGGATGATGATCAGAGATAGTAGGGTAATTGCAATGTGGTAGCGTATGAACAGCCGTAGATAGGAGTAGAGATTGTTGTTGAGCCTTGACGTTTGTAGTTCTGATGTAGTAGTTTAGAACCTTTTCTACGATACATAGTGGCAAAGGAATAAGCTCCGCTAGTATCAGAGAGGCATTAGTAAAAACTGTTCTGCCGCACTTTGAAATTCTGATGTCAAACTGGCTTTGAAGAGAGAGTAATTTACTTGCTACTGAACTTTTATTAGTTACATGATCACAGCCAGAGGCCGCGTAAAGTAGCATTGGTTGTATTGCCCCATTATATAGAGTTTTATAAGCTTTATTATTTAGTCCCCAAGTGCACCTAACACATTTTAGCAGCATGTAGTTTATTTTCTTGGCCTTAGCCAAGATGTAATCAATATGGCAACGGAATATAGTTTCTTTCTATTCTCTCTTGTTTTATCTTGTATGATGTTTCTTTTACACATGCTCAAGCTAGTCGATCTGACAAAGTTTTTTGCGTCTTTTGCGAACATTAAAATTAATATAAAAACAATTATAATGACGTTGATTAATGATGATGATAATAATAATAATATTGTTAATAATTAAAAAATAAAGTTCTTAAAATAAATTGTTCATTCGAATTCATTAAATTTTTATATTTTAAAATGTGTTCACATAAAGTCTTTTATAAATATTAGTACATATTAATTAACTAGTTAATAATTATATATTTTGGACCTAATGTGTTTAGGGTTTCATTAAAAACATTTTTTTGGTTAATTTAAAATCTTTCTATAAAATCATGCCAAAATATTACGTAAGATAGGAAGGGGAGGGGGGATAAAAAGAAAATATTACTTTTTCTTACACAGGGGTGGGTGGGGGTCTAGAATGGCCGAAATCGCCCTTACGTAATTTATGGACGGCCCCTAAGCTGTTTCAGGTAAAACGTGGCTAATGCAAAAACCTGGCAACCTAAGGTTAAAATGCATTTTATAATATGCTGGTAAAGTAGATGCGTTGTATGTACTCTGTCTTACATACCTGCAGCCCTATTAATACTGTAGATCTTCATTCACAGGGTGCCAGTAAATTACATGCAAACATTTCGCACAAAGTTCGTCAAACCACCCATAAAAACTATGATTTTACTAATGAAAAACTTATTTCATTAGACCAAAAACCAGATAGAAAAGTTTCAAATGTGAGGTAAGAACTATGCCATTTTGTAATTTGCCAAACATGGCCAACATACGGCCCGCGGCCCGGATGTGTCCCGTGTAATGGATTTATGTGGCCCGCGAATCTTTCAATATTAGGTACTCAAGACAGAATAGATCGGTGAAAAATTCTAACGCCTAACAAAAAAAAGAAAAGGTCAACAACTCGCTGTCCGATTAGAGTTAACCCTCCATTACAAATTCCTTAACTCTTAACTCTCGAAAATATTTACAAAAATTGAGTGTTTAGTATTCGGAGGGTTTAGATTAGGGTGTAAAAACCGGTAATTTATTACCTATAATGAAAAATATTAAATATTGCCGTTACCGAAATTCTTTCATCGGTTTCTCGTAATCGAAGTTAATTTGGGAAAAAGTTAAAAATGATTATAAAAACATTCAAAGAAAAAAAGGAAAACACTTTTTATACAGTAATGTCAAAACATAACTACTCCGTCTGGCAACAACAAACATTTTACTTCTCTGTACGATATTTTCCGATACAACAGTAACTGAAACCGTTAGACCGGATGGCCGAGCGGTTGCTGGCCTACGACTCTGGGGACTCGGGATCGAATTCAGACGGGTCGATAAAACGCCAAACTTTTTTGCGTGGTGGTCCGTTCGGATACGTGGGTCCCGGTCCCTTACCACCCGGCCATTGTGGGGCTGGTCGAACCCATAATGGACTTGCAAAGAAAAAAAGGCTGTCTTAGTGCCCACATGGCTGAGAGTAAAGAATAGTAACCGAAATCCATTAAATTAAAATCTAAATAATCTTAATGTAATTAAATTAAATTAAAATCTATTATTTATAGTAAAAAATCCAAAACTTATTCAGAAATTTTTTATTTTAAGCATGCATTGGTATTCGGGAGTTGACAACAATGCTAAGTCACCAGTGGAGCCTAGTTATTTATGCTTAGTATTAATCACAAAAAACGCGTTTATATTTTGCAATTCTATCACTTCTCAATTACTTTACTTAAATACGTTTTAGTGCTTTCTTTACATTTAAGACACTCGTGATTAAGACACTTCTTTGCTTTATGATGGGTACCATCATAAAGCAAAGAAAATAAAACGTGTGGCAGTATTTTTTAGAAAAACTAAAGAACAAACTGAATGTCTAAAGTGTCACATAGTTTTGAAATCGGCTGGTGGTTCAACACCTAGTTTGAAAGCGCACGTGAGTAAAATTGATAGTATAGATGCGAAAATAAAGCCAGTAACTCTAACAATAATGAAACTACTTTAGAACAATATTTAACTAGAAAATCTGTTGATGATGAAATTGCAAAAATGACATGCATAGATAGTTTTAGCTTCAGACAAATTGCTTTGAGTGAATTTATCCAAAGAAACCTGGAAATTAATGCTTATGATAAACTGCCAATTAGTACAGGAATTTGGAGTAAAAAATTTGGTTTTGAAATATCATGAAACTAAGAAGACAGAATTAGTAAATACTTTTCTGATCAAATTAAAAGATGATGTCGATATTAGATGAATATACTTCTTCACAGAATCAACGCTTTATGAGTATCAATGTACATGATATGAAAAGACATTGGTCCTTAAGATTAGTACATATTTCAGGTTTTTTAAATAGTAAGAAAATCACCCTTATAGTAAAGAAACGATTAATTGAATTTGGATTTCATTTGAATCATTATATCGTCGTTTTCTATTATCGTTTTTTATTGGTAATAGAAAAATGTTTTCGGTAATTTATCGGTAACTGAAATGTCGGTAATTGTTCCATTTTAGATTGACCTGCCCATATATTATCAGGCAAAACTGGCTTGGTTTGACAGACAATGTATGGAATCCACCAAAGCTGCGCCAAAAAACTGGAAAATTTTAAGGAAACATTTCATGTGCAATGTACTGGATATGATTGNGTTGCTTATCTACAGCATAAAGACAAAATTTGGTGCCTTCTGCAAAAAGTAAAAAGCTCTTTTGTCTTAGGTAAAAACAAGTTTGAAGTTATTTTTCTCGAATATTTATGTCAATACAGTATTATAGATGAACGAATACAGTATCACTTTTCTCAAATTTAAACACCGAATTCGAATATTAGCCAGATCGCGAATACTTATGTTCACTAAATATTCGAATTCGATATAAATGATATTCAATTATCATTTCTACTTTCTAGTATACGAGTACACGAGATTCTAAATTTCAAATATTACGTTGATTAAAAATAAACTCAAATACTACAAATATCTCTAATATCGGACCATTCGTACAGTCACAGTAGCATATCCAGAAGGAAGGAGCTAAAGGATCCAAAGGAAGGTCTAGGCAACACAAAAATTAAAAATATTCCAGTAATTAATAAATACATTTTATTAACATTACATAATGATTGTATTGTGTATGGTCCGTTAAACCATATTTGTCATCATAAATGCTTTTATAAACGACATTTTGAGGCTCAGACAAATAAATTTTAATTTTGTCTTAATTAATGGAATTCCCTTTTATCCGCCGACAGCGCCTTATCAATCGTACCTTTCATTTAATTTGTGACAAGAAAAGAAGCAGATTAAACACTGAACGTTTTCGAATTATTGTTTTTTATTAAATTAAAAATCTGTCAAATTTACCAGATTCAGATTGAAAATGGAAGTGATGCACTACAGAAATCTGGAAGCAGAACGCGCGGACGGTTTAAATGCTTTTTTATATTGATCGTCACACATTTAGGTGGCCAGGTTTTGCCTTAATCAGTTTAATGCTTAATAATTAAGCATATTTACAATATATTGATAATAAATGAAATGTTTCAAAGTTTAGATTAGTCAAAATAAATTGCTTATTAGTACAGTATAGTCTATTCCGTAAGTTATCTCTTACGTATTTTACAGTACGTAAAAATGTAATGTATTATTTTTTCAGATGGTACAAGATGGTGGAGTAGTTTGGGTAGGTTTAAGATTTCGTTTACTTTCATAATAACTGATATTAGTAGATTTGATAGTAAATCTTATGTATAACACTTATTTGTTGTTCATTTCATTGGTCAGTGGTTCACAACTAAAGATGTTTAATTAAAGATGTTTGAGCTTGCTCACAATTTTTGGTGACATACCATTGTCGCATGAATGAGGTCGTTATGTTATCCCCATTAACGTTGCATTTCGTATATATACACATGCGAAATGCAACATTAGCGTTTGTTCGTTTTTATATACATAGATAATATTAAAAAATAAACAAAAATTAAGACTATATACTCGCACATTACTTCAAAAATAACTAAGAAATTGGATAATAAGATATATATATATATACAGTCGACCCCCCTATAACTATAACACGGGTTCCTATAGTTCGAGTTCCTATATCAAGGCGAAAAAATTGCGACAGTATTCGCACAAAGATGCTAAAAATAACTCGTATAATTCGGTAAAACGTCAACGCCGACTCGTGTCGCGACAGGATTGGTCGAATCTAGACTAATAGAGGATATTGTTAAAACCGTTGAGTTTAAACGAGCAGCGGATCTACTAAAAACCATTTATTATTTAACGTCCATAAAAATTATATTTATATTAATGATGTCTCCAAAATTCAGCGAATTTTTCGCAAAAAAAATAATTTATCAGGAAGCATGCGAGCGCCATTTGATGACAAGCGAACGGTGCACACTCGGTAAGTAATCCTACAATTTTTTTGTTTATAGCATAATTTATATGGATTATTCCCAAAAAATTATACGTATTTTGGAAATGTTGAGTCAAATTTGTCTAGAATCGATTAATTTTATGGAAGAAACTTTTCAAACAGCTGTAGTCCGTAAACTGCATATGTGCCGGGCTGTGATTGGCTGGACTCGTAGAAAATGGATTCATAAAAACCGGAACGTATCTACCGTGTTATGGGGGGGTCACTTGTATATTAATATATATTAAATAGACAAAATGTTATAGTCTTAAGCAATTATTCGATTCTATTATTTGTTAACATATAGTATAAAATCATTCTTCTTTCAATTTATGTGAAATTTAATTTTAACTTGTTGATAAAATGAATAATTTCTGTTTTTCTAAGTAGAAATATTTAATACATAATAATTACAACAATACCCAGCTTAACGCTGCCTCGATTAACATTGATTCGATATAACGCGGTCTGCTCGAAGACTAAAAAAAGCTCAAAATTTACGCCGATTCAAATTATCGCGTCATTTTATTGATTCGTATTTAATACGATTATTCCCAAACACGAACCAATCAGCAAAAGGTGGAAATTCGTCATAGCGCTGTACTTTCCTTAAATATATGTTTGTTTGGTGCAATTTTGGAAAAAAAATATAACATCATGCATGCCGTAAGCAATATCGACTTCGCCTGGCAAGAATTAACTGATAACTGCATGTACAAAGTGTGGAAGAAGTTATGGCTTAAAGTATCGAAGAATTCTGAACGAGAAAAGCCTATCGCTGTATCGTTAGGCTGACAATTTGCTCAACCTAATCGATACAGCATGACTAGGAGATGTAGACGAGCAGGATATTGAGGAGTTACTGCAGGTTTCTGTTGAGATCCTTAACAACGACGACCTTCAAGAACTGGCAGAACAAGGAATTCATGTAGAACTGAAAAATAGTCATTCTGAAAACGAAGAACCCAAAGAACTTTTCTACAGATTTCCTTAATAAAAGTTTGGTAACGATAATCGAAATCATTGATTAAATTGTAGTGAATGATCCAGATTTTGAAAGGCGTGCAAAAGCAAGACGAGGCGTTTTGGATGCGATCTCCTGCTACCGACATTTCCTTAAGGAAAGAAAAAAAGCGACAAATGAAACTTTACGACTTTATCGCAAAAAACAAGAATTTCGGAAGAGCCAGGACATTCGTCACAAAAAATGAAATTTACATTTCTGTGTGTATACATTTATCTCTTATTTAACATATATTATTGTGCAGATTAATATAAAAATAACTTAAAATTAAAGTAAAATCTGTTTATTTTTGGTCGCGTGTTCCCCTTTCCGTATTTACTCTATGTTAGAATGACCTCGTTTAACGCTTTGTCGTCTAGGAACGTATACTTCGCGTTATGCGGTGTCTTACTGTATATGTTGCTTATCTACAGCATAAAGACAAAATTTGGTGCCTTCTGCAAAAAGTAAAAAGCTCTTTTGTCTTAGGTAAAAACAAGTTTGAAGTTATTTTTCTCGAATATTTATGTCAATACAGTATTATAGATGAACGAATACAGTATCACTTTTCTCAAATTTAAACACCGAATTCGAATATTAGCCAGATCGCGAATACTTATGTTCACTAAATATTCGAATTCGATATAAATGATATTCAATTATCATTTCTACTTTCTAGTATACGAGTACACGAGATTCTAAATTTCAAATATTACGTTGATTAAAAATAAACTCAAATACTACAAATATCTCTAATATCGGACCATTCGTACAGTCACAGTAGCATATCCAGAAGGAAGGAGCTAAAGGATCCAAAGGAAGGTCTAGGCAACACAAAAATTAAAAATATTCCAGTAATTAATAAATACATTTTATTAACATTACATAATGATTGTATTGTGTATGGTCCGTTAAACCATATTTGTCATCATAAATGCTTTTATAAACGACATTTTGAGGCTCAGACAAATAAATTTTAATTTTGTCTTAATTAATGAAATTCCTCTTTTATCCGCCGACAGCGCCTTATCAGCCGTACCTTTCATTTAATTTGTGACAAGAAAAGAAGCAGATTAAACACTGAACGTTTTCGAATTATTGTTTTTTATTAAATTAAAAATCTGTAATAAGAAAGAATAAGAACAAATATTTGTTAACTTATTAAAGTTAAGATGATATAAATTAAAAAAGCAAATTTAAAGTTCATAGTCAGAAGATTACGTTTCAAATTTCATTTCTTAAAATTTAGTAAATTGGTCTTTTTTACTCTCTTTTTTATACTTTATTAATTTATTAATATATTAAAACAACAAATAATAATAAATATTACATAAATTAATCTACTATATAAGTTATATAAAGTAATTAAGTTCACTAAGTATACGGAGTATTCGAGATCTGCTTAATAATCGAATTCGAGAAAAGTACCTATCTCTAGTTAATATTATTAATTTAATAACTAAATTAAGAAAATTGTTACCTTGGATAAATTGGCGCCTGTGGCCAATGACCTCACTATGTCACTATTGTTTTTAATGCGATTGCGAACAATTATAAACAGGCGAGAAATTATCGCACTTTGTCACTTGTTCGCTGCCTTAGTGTTTAATCAAATTATTCTCTGAAACAGTCTCGTACGTCAAATTTCAGTTGAAATTTAATATACGAAAAATTGAAGAACATACAAGAACATAAGAAAAGTACGAGAAGTTGAAATTAACGAAGAAGTTAAATGTAACTTCTTCGTACTTGCAAACTCGTTAAAAGTATTTATGATTGAAGAAAAGCATATTTTACTATAAGCAGCTATGTTTTATTTGGAAATATTGTTTATATAAAAAATTATAAACTTCAACTCGGATGTATGGAGTGTGGTAAAGTGGCTCAAAGACCTGATTCGGCCACTGAACGGTGATCAATGGTTCGCTAATGAACAATAATATCTGACAAGATATTCTAAATTATATATGATAAAATTAATATAAATCAAAATTTCCGAGCTATAATCGTATATTCTTAAAGGTTTATCAATTAATTCAAGATATCACAAATATACAATATCTTTTTCATCTTGTCAAATATATCACTGTTGCAGGTTATGTGTTCACAGATAGTGAGTAGGATAACTTACGAGTAAGTTTAAAAAATCATACACGCCTACTTTGATCCGTTTCAAGTCGTACCGAACCAAAAAGTGGCGGGCTTCATAAAAGACGCCACGTCATGGCCGTTTATTTATTATAAAAAATAATACAATGGTTATATGATACGAAGCGTTGCTACACAATACAAATACAAAAGTTTATATAACACAAATCATTGTTACACACATAGGTAATGACAGGAGAGAAATGTAACACTCCCCCTCAATGATTTGTCCCATTTTGCTTACAGTCATCGAGTCCAAGTTGTCTAGCACATTTAACGTGTTTTCTAGTACACACTGGTTTTGTTAAAATGTTTGCTACCATTTCCTTGGTAGGGCAGTACATAATACATACATTCCCATTTTTCACTTCATTTCTTACAAAATGATATTTGACATCAATATGTTTCGTACGTCGACTAACACGATCATTCTCCGCCACTTTCATACAACTTTGGTTATCCTCGTACATAGTTACTTTCTTATCGACGGTTTCCCCAAGGTCCAGAAACACTCGCTTCAGCCAAGCAGCCTCTTGGGTAGCTTCACAAACTGCAACGTACTCAGCTTCAGTCGAGGACAGTGTAACATTGCTTTGCTTTTTACTGTACCACGATACAGGACTGCTTTGATATTTAAAGACATACCCTGTATGCGACTTTCTATCTGTGTTATCACCTGCCCAGTCTGAGTCGACGAAACATTCTAGTGTGGTTCTAGCGTTGCTCTTTTCACCCAATTTCAGCTTCCAATCAGCTGTTCCCTTCAGATATCGGAACACCCTTTTCACCTCATTCCAGTCAGCTGCTCTTGGTTCCTTAGTACGTTGAGCAAGGATGGAAACTGCTGCCAATATATCTGGGCGTGTGTTGGTTGCAAAATACAGTAAACTACCTATACCTTCAGGTACAGTTTATTACTTTCTATTTTTGGTCCCCGCTCTTTAATTTTGAAATATCCAGGATCAAGGGGAATCTTGCTGGTTTTTGCACCTTGAAGTCCAAATTCTACTAGTTTGTCAGTTATAAAATGTTTTTGATTTAAATGGAATATTCCATCACCATCTCGATCAAATTTGATTCTGAGGCAATGATCGATATTTCCGAGGTTTTTCATGTGGAAATATTTTTTAGTTTCCACTTCAAGCCAATTTAACGCTTCTTTGGAGGTTGATGCTGCAATTACATCATCAACGTGTACAATGATGTACATTGTTGCATAGCATCTTTTTCCGGTGTACAGACAAGATCATTTATGCTCTGTGCAAAACCGCATTCAATCAGTACTTCATGCAATTTTCTGTTCCACTCAGTAGCTCCCCGTTTCAATCCATAAAGGTTTTTCACAAGCTTGCAAACTTTGCTTGGTTCCTCTATGTCGTAACCTTTAGGTTGCTGCATGTACACTGTGTGGTGTAGGTCGCCATTCAAGAAAGCTGTCTCAATGTCATAGTGATTCACATGCATTTTACGTTTAGCTGCTAAAGTCAGCAAGATCCTAAGGGTTGTTTGCTTTGCCACTGGAGCAAACACTTGGTCATAATCCTCCCCATATTTTTGACTGAAGCCTTATGCCACCAGACGGGCTTTGTATCTTGTCGGTTTACCTTGTCGGTGGTGGTTTGGCCAACACCCATGTTCCATTTTTCTTGAGCGTACAAATTTCCGCATCCATTGCCTTTATCCACTCATTTGCATCTTTTCCGTTGACGGCTTCATCGTAGGTTTTCGGTTCAGAAACAACCTTACTTTGCATTGCCTCAACCAATCTGTCTGGGGGATGATGACCTTTGTTGTTTCTCGTAGAGCGACGGAGTGGCAGATTGTCCTCAGATTGCTTGTTAAAGGTGGCTCTTTCATTTAGATTAACTTCCACTTCGCTTTTGCTGTCATCATCACTGTGGTAATGTGAAAGGGATGAATTGTTGGTCGAGCCCATGTTGTCATGTGGATTTCCTTCTATGAAGACAACGTCACGACTTATCTTGATTTTCTTGGTTACAATATCCAACAATCGATATACCTTGCTGCCATTTTCATATCCCACAAATCTTGTTTCAATTGCCTTTACATCCAGTTTCTTTCTTACTCCAAAAGGAACTCTTGTGTAAGCAATACATCCAAAACGGCGGATGTACTCAATATTTGGCTTCTTACCTTGCCATTTCTCACATTGTGTCATTGGGTCCTTTTTCGATGGTAATCTGTTCTGGATATGATTTGCCGTAATTAATGCCTCACCCCAATAGCATTTTCCTAATTCTGCACCATGCAACATTGTTCTTACCATCTCACAAAGAGAGCGATTTTTCCGTTCTGCCTTGCCATTCTGTTGAGGACAATCTGATGCTGTGTTCTGAACTTTAATACCATGCTCCTTGAAAAGTTTACGCAGGTGTTCATTCATGTACTCAGTTCCTCTATCAGATCGGAACTTTTTCACCTTGCATCCCATTTGTGTTTCAACATAGTTTACATATTCCTTTATTTTTACATTAGCCTCAGACTTATGCTTCAATAGATAAACTTTGGTATAACCGGTATAATCATCTATACTCGTTATGTAATATCTATTTTCACCAGGGGTTCTCACTTACATGGGTCAACACAAGTCACTGTGCAATAGCTCAAGCTTTGTACTACTTCTATTCATCGATTCTTTTGGAAATGGTTTTCGCGGCGTTTTATTTTTCATGCAACTTTCGCATCCCACAGTGCACCCACACTCATTAATTGTCACACCCTCGACACTTTCGGCAGCCATATAACGCATTACAGATGGATCAAGGTGCCCACACCTCAAGTGCCACAGATGTACATACTGTTTCTTGGGCATGGATAATACTTCTAAAGCATTGTGTTGACTCAACACAAACAGTGATCCCCAAAGTTCAGCCTTTGCATGTGTCTCGCCATCTCGTTTTATGTAGCACTGCATTGTTTTGCTGTCAAAATACACATCATAACCTCTTTGCATCATTTTCACTGAAATTATAGTTTTTTTATTGCAGTGTAGCACCTACAAACACTTGTCTTTTTCTTTTACCCGCGACCCCCCGAGTAAGCCTTTGAGACCCCTCTGGGTGTCGCCACACACAGGTTGAAAAACACTGCTCTAGTCTAAATAAACAGCAATTACGCCAGAAATAGCTACCGCAAGTCAGCACACATCAATCTGTCCACAACAAATATGCATATGCACTTCTTGCCTTAGACTGTTATAAGGCTCCTGTTTTCATTGGCTTCAGACGACAGTTCTAGTTTCTACGTTAACTTTTATCCGATTCGGAGTCTAATAATTATATATCATTGCTTGTTTCCATTCATGTAAACTACGAGTGTACAGCCCGTCCCGTTGGTTGTCTGGCAACCGTTGTAGATGCAATCACTGAATTAGAAAGAAAGCGTCTTCAAAAAGAAAAAGCAATGGCAACTGTTTTCCTCAGTCAGAGATAAGTTAGATAGATTTGCCTAAAAATTTGAGAAAAGTTTTGCTAAAAATGCAGACTTATAAAAGTCCTGGAACGCAATGACGTCAAGACCAAGCATAGTATACAGTAGTATAAAAATGAATAACTTCTGTAAAATATACCTTGCAATTTAAATAAAACTTTTTACTCAAGATAGATGATTTTAATAACCTGATTTTTAGCACCACTTCTTTGCATTATTTTTTCTGTTTTTAGCACTGTGCACACCACTTTTTAACTTGTTAACACTCTAACATCTTATTCTTATTAGGACAGTGTATCGTATAAATTATCTCTTATATAGTACGTAAAAAATGTAGTGCATTATTTTTTTCAGGTGCAGCAGCAGCCACCCTTTCAACAGACTGGGGTAAGTTTAAGATTTTATTTACTTTCACGATAAATGATATTGATAGTTTCGATGACACAGTAATAAGCCATTGTGGCATTAATGATGTCTTTATATGTGTAAACGAAACGTAACATTAATAATTTACAGCTTTGTTAAATATATATTGATTTACAAATAATATTAAAAAGTAAACGAAAAGTTAGCATATTTAAATGAATTTTTAAAATTTTGTGGCATCATAAGAGAAGTGTGTTGAACGTCTACATTAATTTTCCATGGCACATCAACTGAGAACCAATGTTCGGTTATTCAAAAGTAAATAAACAGTTTCTTATAGGGATTATTACTCATAACATACGGCTTATTATTAATCTTTAATTTATATACATAATTGAAGATGTTTGTTTGTTCTCTATATATTCCTAGGCTGTTCGACCAATTACTATTAAACTCGGCAGTTAGGTTCAAATACTTCTAACTTAGATAATGCCGTGCATGTTACCCCACAATATCGATTATATTTCTATAAATCAATTAATTTTTATCTATGTTCGATTTTCTGAGTTACACCATCTGTTGGCAAAATATTTAACAAAATAAACTAAATATAATTTTTACAAAAAGGATATAATTTAAAATATATATATATATTATATTCATTTAATTACNTAAGCTTGTGAGAAGCCTATAAGTATTTAATTTTTCATATCTAACAACTTGGGTTTTTTATTTCTGAAAGATTCTTTCTTAATTCTAATAAATACCCTCCAGTAACTCATTGGATATAACTACCGAACACTGGTAGTTAGTTAGTCGTGGGTTTGGGCATGGCCAATTGACCAACCACGTGCAGTTTTCCGGGTTTTCTTCACGTTAGTATCACCTAAATAGGGTCCAGCTTTCCTTAAGTCTTCTTGGGATGCATTCCTCTCGGCAGATCCCTTGTGACATTGTCACAATGCTGGACTGCAATTTTTCTTCATAATGTTTTTAATTCTTTTAGTTGTGCTAAAAGGAAAAGTACGTCATACTTTTTCTTTTAGCAACAGAGTCGTGCTGGTATCCATCTAACTCTTTTCAGGGAAAAAATTTTGAATTGAAGAACGTGACATCCAATTTATAAATCGAAATTCCGTACTTTTGACCTGGGCCTCCTACCTACACGCTTTCCATACCCGGGGTCGTATTCTGGTCACTGTCTCTGGTCTCTCGTCTCCCACAAGCCGGTCGCTGATTGGCTAATCATTTGGATTAGCCAATCAGCGACCGGCTTGTGGGAGACGAGAAACCAGAGACAGTGACCAAAATATGGCTCCTGGTCTCGACTTTCGTCTATCTAACTCCTTTCTCGAGATTAAGGAAGGTTAGACAAACAGGGGAAGACAATGGAAATTTATAGGTCTACAGTTTTTTCAAATTGCAACTGAATAATTTATCTATAAACGCGATATTTCCCGGGAACTTGCTTCCCACATAATTGATACAACCAGTTACAAAAATATAAACACTTTATTAATACATTAAGGCAATTATTCTCCCATTTTACAAGATTTTGTTTTATTTAAACAAATCTTATATCAATTCTTTTAGACATTAAGGTTAGCAACTTCGATGACATGCGTGGTCATCACAATCGATCCAACACGGATTACTTTTCAAGTATTAATAGTAGACCAGCATTAAGTAGTAGTCGTTGACCATTCTCTTTTCCGAGAGGAAGTCAACGACTACTTTTGGTCGAATTAGCTTCAACCTCCATCTGCAACAGCCTTTCTTCCTATCGGACCCACCGGTACGGTGGCATTCGAATAGGAAAATTACAGAATACGAAGTTACTGGACAGCACAAAATATGATTTAAGTGGTTTTCGAGGGTGCCGAGTTTAAGTGTTTGGTCCGTTTTTCGCGGAATTTGATTCGTTGGCAGATTATCATTTGATATTCGGCTGTGAATAAAACAGTTTGTTTGTGCTAACATCAGAAAACATTAAATAAAATACGATATCTTAAATTTCGTATTTTATTTAATGTTTTCTAATTTTTAATTGGTTTAATTGCTTAATTGTTCTTTAATTTTTAATTGTTTCCATTTTAATTGGTGTCTACTTGACCAATGAAATTGTGTTTATAGTATCGCGATAAACATTACAATTGTAGCCTGCAAGAACGAAACTCTTTATATGATTTTCCTTTAAATATTTGCTATATCATAGTATTTGATTTATATAACTACAGAGATTTTTCACTTGGTGTGATAAATCCTTTCATAAGATAACTGTTGTAGTTGTGAAGAGTTATCCGTGGGTAGAGAGTCTGAGTTAGTCTCTCTACCACTTAGTCGGCGGCGCAATCGGTAAGACTGGTCCTCAGAGTCGAAGAATGGCTTTCTCGAGTTTATGTTGATCACGATTCGGAAAAATCGAGATCCTGTCTGGACTGACACCATTTACACTATTTTTGTCGTGGTTTAACTGGCGTATATAAAAGATGATTACTAGGAGGGCTATTTCTACAAGTGGAGCGTTGCGTAATTGACAAATAGTTCGAGCTCAATAAATGACAGAAGCCGAATAAACAACATAACAAATATGATTTAATGAATAAACGAAATATCCTATATACATATCTCTAAAATAACATAAGATAATATTGGAAGTACAATGGAGTTAAACGAGCTTATATCTAACTATACCTGTATTTCTATGCCTCGCGTGAATGCTATACCAGAAAGAGAGAGAGCTTACAATAAACCAGTACATTGGTTCTAGGGTTTCTCATTTCCCGGGAAATTTGCCTCCAGCGGGATTACGGGAAAAATAATTTCTTTTCCCGGGATCCCGGGAAATTCCGGGATGAGATAGTAAAATAGAATTTTATATGAATAAAAAAGATCATACAGGAATATCATAAATTTGAATAATTTAATTTATTTTCTAGTAAGTAACTAAAAGTGTAGGGCCAATCTCACCCATACGGACACGTTAGGCTCAATTAATTTATATTTTCCTACATTATAAGATGAAAGTAAAATAAAGCGTTTCATTGGGAGTTTTAATGATTACGAAAAAAGATGAAATAAAAAATAAAGTGCAATAAGTGATATTTACTTTCATCAAGTCTCCGCTGTTCAATGATGCGCAAACACAATACATAGATATTACATGAACTAACAAGTAGAGACTTGTAAAACATAGGTAATAATATGCAGCACTCAAGAAACCTCTCTCTTAGGCGAGTCTTCAAGATGCAACTTTTCGTATAATAAATAATAGAAAGAAAACCTTACATGGTAAATTATTATTGAAATGCGAGATTTCCCGGGAAAATTAAATTTCCCGGGATTTTTCTCGTAGGGAATAAACGGCGAGAATCCCGGGATCCCGGGAGAGAAACCCTAATTGGTTTTCAACCGGGGGTACATGTACCCCTAGGGGTACGAGCATAAATCGAAAGGGTATTGTACTGTACATCTAACTTTCATTATAAAATTGGTGTATGTTAATCAATTTGCTGTAAATTATTAACACAAGAAACAAGAAACGACAAAAACTTGCTTTAGACCAGTGTTTCTCAACGGGGGCGCCCACGTGGGCGTTTTTCCATGTTCAGGGGGCGATTAGTAACAATTTATATTTTGGGGGCGAAAAACAATTTTCTGGGCGATATAGTAAAACATTATAGTAAGAATAATTAGATATTTTATTCGTTATATCATACAATAATTAAACAAATAACATTATACTAGTCACTAGTCTATTCAATGCAGTACGAATTTGGCGTTAGCCTTGTCCCTTGGCATCGGAATTTTGTAGTGAAGGGGGGCGATACTACGTAACGGTTTTATTGAAGGGGAGCGACGATTCGTTAGAGGTTGAGAAACTGCTTTAGACTATCCCAGTATGAACACCAATTTCCGTTTTAACAGTTTAAACAACTTGTTTATCCACTTGATTTGCCTGTCTATTTGTGCCGTTAGTGCCGAGTAAACCTGTAGTCTAGTAAAATTACGGTTTAAGCGATCATTAATTTTAGAATAGAAAAATTTTTTTTCTATTCTATAATTATTGCTCGATGAGATTGGGGCTTTTTGTGTTTTTACTGGACTACTAGTATTAGGCATGGATCGTATTCCACCACGCAATGCGTGTCACTGCATGCTTGATACTTAGCAAATTTAGACGTTGCGTGTGTTACAAAAATTGAAAGATTCATGTATTGTTCTGCACGTTATAAATTCGCAGCCATTACTTTCAAGGTCAGTACACAATTATAATCTCTATTTAACAACCTGGGAACCAAATTTTGAAAAAATTGCTGAAGATTTATCGCGACAAATATTCCATTAAATTTTGTTAGAAATTATTGTAGAATAATTTAAAAATCATTTCTGTGATTTTATATAATATACTTATCAAATAATAATAAATAAATGTATGTACCTGATTAAATTTATTATTATTTACGTAAAATATATAATTCACTTTTAGTTATAGTTAGTTAGTTAGAGTTTTTTATGGCACTCAGTTATAAGGGCTGTATACATCTAACGCAGTAATTATAAAATTTACATACGAAAATATAAGGGGTATTTGAGAAACAACTAATGGGCTAATGGGGTACTGTACATCAACGAAAAAAGTTGAGAACCACTGCAATAAACAATATATATACTACTTCAAGTTATGTAATATTCGTGGTCGTAGTCTTCGATGAGGAGCTTGGTAGATGGATAATGTTGACCGGGAGAATCAATCTTCTATGCGCACAGTATGAATTATGGTCGAACATCTATATAGCACTTTCAATATTTATGAGAGGCTGCCTAGGGTTATATGGCACTTTCTATCTTCGATGAACTGCCTTGCTTATGTGGCAATTACTTCTTATGGAGAACTGCCTTCTATGGCAGGTAGGAACTTTCCATGAACTGCGTCGAGTGGCCGGAAAATTTCCTTTTTATGCCTCTGGCCAATAGCGTTTAAAGAACGATCAGGATGTGTAACGAGTGCAGAACTCGTTACACATCCTGATCGTTCTTTAAACGCTATTGGGGTAAACTCACTTGTGGCTATATGATATAGCGATAAGCTTGCAAGAGAAAGGAAGTTGACTTCCCTTCTATCTGAATATGACGAAAGTTACATCTTTCGGGTGAAATCATTTAAACAAATAAAATATTTATTCTCATTATATTAAATCAATTCATCTAATTAACTCGCGGATCTCACATAGTTATATAAATCAAATACTAGAATGTAATATAATTGAAGGGTTAGAAGTACGAAAAAACCTATTAGATTATTTCATACTTCTAAACTTAATTTTTGTTGTTGTTATTTTTGGACGGGCAATGCCGGGCTCATCTGCTAGTTAATATATATATTATTTGTTTATTAAAAGAATTCTTTGGTTATTGTTTGAATTGTTATATATCATTTACAAAATTCTTTATTAAAATAATTATAAATTGAAACTTGCATGTAAAGAGTGCAGTAATGTGAATCAAAACATCCGGATGGGCTGCTGAGAAAGAGTTAGAGTTTGCTAATGAATAATAAATATCTAACACAATATTCTTAACTATGTAATGTAATAAAATTAATATAATTCAAAACTTGCGTGCTATTATACTATATTCTTAACGTTTATCAATTATTCAAGATATTATCACAAATATACATTATATTACCGTTTTCTAAATAAACTTGTTTTCAATTATAAATTTACAAATAGTATTGAATATAGTATTTTTAATTTTATAGAACTATCCACATAAACCGGTAAGTTAATTAAAAGTATTATAAATCTATTTATTAACTTTTTCAGAAATATTTGACTTATCGTATTCGATATTTTTTATTAACAATATGATATAATTTTAAACTATTTCATGTTTGTTCAATTCGTAAAATTTCTCAACGTGTTAATTAACACTGAATCTGTCACATTGTTCCTTGGCCACCACTGGCAAACGCAGCACTGGCATAGTTGAGGCTATTGAATAACAATCACAATAACACTCACTCACGCTCACAATCTACACACATACACACCAATAGTCTAAGAGGATCCATTTAGACATATAGCGAACACCTATTCAGTGAAAGTGCTTCAATGACCACTAAGGCTATGAAATCATTTTAACTGATGAAGTGAACAGATGAACAGATGACCGAAAGAAATTAAAATAAATTAATCGTCTCCGCTTACTTTACTTTCATAAAACTTAAAAAATATGACAATAGACAGGTAATAAGTATATCAGAAATTAACACAAGAATATCTACAGAACAAAGAGTTGCTAAAAAACAATTAGCCCTATATATGACAAACTTGAACATATTAGACTAAACGATAAGTTGTAGAAGGAATATATCTACACACAGAAACACTAGATCATACTAAGTATCAAAGAGTCACTGGATAAAAATAACTAATAAAAACATACGTTGAATAAGCGCACCAATGAAAACATAAACACTACAACGACAACTCGTGATATTACAGACGCACAATTAACTAATTAACACTGTCACATTTATTCCAAGAAATGCTCATTAAATATACAGATTTGTCAAACATAAACACCACAAATATTGAAAATAAACTCAACAAAACAATTTGGAAACCTTACATTATTTAAATATACGCTCATATTACCAAAATATATTCAGTCAGATTCAACATCTTCAGACCCTCAATATATTCACAATAGTTTCTTCTTGTACGATCACTATGGTAATGTATTGTAGCCTTAAAGTATATCTATAAACAGATAATTAAAACAAAAACAGACAAATCACAACTTTCTCTTTCTTATAAGCAAGACTAGAAATACAGATAAAAGGCATGGAAAACAATTACACAGACTGACTTATTATTCGTTCATTAAAAAGGATATAACACTAAAATTAATGAAAGAGATCAGAACACACATAACTTATAAAATTAAAGTTAAAACACACACAAACATGAACTGCACAATACACATATAGAAAAGTACGTTTTTATTCTCAACTGAAAACTTATGGCCAAATCACAAACAAACAAATGATACAGAATCTGTACTAAGAAAATAACAAAATATTTTTATTACTAGCTACGAAAAGCTTTTCTACAGAAATATGCAATATTATAATCATGTCCTGAGTCGAAATAAGCATACACATCAAAAATCAGTACAAAGAACATGCAATTGAAAAACACTTGATGTAGACAATACTCACAATTTCTCGTACAAAAAAAAAAAATTAATTTCTGCACTAAGAAATAGTCAAATATTTTGTAGTTAACAAGCAATAATTCAGAAAATATACAAAGCGTCAAAAGTAAAGACCCCCATACAGCACAAACCAATTACATGCCTTCCAACACCAGAAAGTATTCGCGACTTATATAAAAAAAAAAAAATATTCTAACATATCACATAGGTTGCAAAAGACAATTGACATCATCCCATACTCAATACACTAAGGCCCTGTACACACTAGGCGTTTTTCAACGCGCGTTAAACGCGCGTTAGCTCGGCGTTTGACGAGCGTTTAGCGGAGCGTGCGCACTGGCTCGGTTTGGAAATGGATGTGGAAGTGATTGCTTGTGTGTGGCTCCACTATCGTCGCTATAAAAGACGACGGCGGAGGCAAAGAGAATTTTGGGTGCACCCAATATTACGAGATAGACTGACGCATGAAATGTTTGCGACGTTGTATCCAAAACTAAGACAAAATAAATTCAAGTTTTTTAATTCTTTTAAAATATCTATNATTTCCTCTCTTATACTGGTTACTATAACATTTATTTCCGCATCACATGTCGATAAGACAGTGTTTAGTTGTGTTTTAGATGTCCATTAAATGAGATTTGGTCGTAGTTGATATATAATTCTAGTTGTTTGGTATTGCCTTGTTGTGCCACACTTCCAACTTGCATTACAATAACATTGCAATTGCACTTCTTCGTAATAAGTTTGCCATATTTCCTTTACTTTATAATTATCCCATGATCTAGTATTTCTTTTAAATATAGAAAGAAGACTTTTTATATTTTCCATTTGGATTTCTTGTGGATCTTTATGGTATTTTGATGGTGTTAGATCATATGCAATGTCTGGCCTGGATTTTGTATCTAAATACATCAATGATCCTAATATTTCTTGATATTTCCTTCGATCACATGACTTTGAGGTCTCAAACTTCTCGAAATATATATTGACTTCTATGGAAGTTGCAACTGAATTGGAGTCCTCCATATTAAATTTTTTAAACAACTGTCTTATGTACGATTCTTGTTTTATCATGACATTGTCATTTCTTATTATTTCTATATCCAGAATGTTGTTTGTTTTAGTATACTCCTTTAATACAAAATATTTTTTGTCTTTTATAATGCTTCTAAAATTTCAGTATTGGATTTTATAATTACAGTATCATATTATCTACATGTAGCCCCAGTATTAATTTTGAGTTATTTTTTTCGTAACTGAATACACATTTATCGAATTTAAAGTTTTTGAAATCAAATCTCGTAAGGTAATCCTTCAGTGTCTCATACCAAACTTTTCCGGATTGTTAGGGCTTTGTTAAGTTTTCATGTCAATATTTGAGTCTTGTTTCTCTTAAAACCCTTCAGGCTGCTTCATATAGATTTTTCTTCCAACTTGTCATACAAAAATTCAGATAGAGGGGTCGACTGTATGTTTTTGATTCTAAGGCCGAGACTCCACTACCGTAAAAACGGCGTAAAAACCCTCGCCGTAAAATCTTTTAATCACGGATTCTGATATTTTACGACCTGCTCATGCGTAAAATATCAGGATCACGTGATTAAAAGATTTTACGGCGAGGGTTTTTACGCCGTTTTTACGGTAGTGGCGTCTCGGCCGAATACGAATTTCAAGTGAGAATCGCAATTTTATTTTATTTTATTTTATTTTTTTTAATTTATCAAAAATATATTCAGTTAGTGAAAGCCATTAAATTAATAATTACTTGGTAGTGACCTCGTTTCAGGTAAAATGTTATCAATTTACAAAGGAAATATTCGTAATAGCACATTATCTTGACTATTGAGAATTTGACCAATGGCGCTTTTTGTAATTCCGTTGGGTTAATATTCAATATTCGTTTTAAATTGTAAGAAGTTAAATTTATTTACAAAAATTAGAGAACATTTTGCAGTTTTAAATAAGTTTTTTACAAATGTGTTATTTTTATGTTTTTACACGTTAGCAAGAGTAATAACGTTTATATTTGTACGTGCTCCATCACTAGTTTTTGTTGAAGGAGAAGAAATAACTTGCACTTCTTATGCAGACACATGTAACATAATTTAATATCTATACAAATTGTATTGATTTACATATAGAGCGCAAATGCCAATGGATATTGGCCTGACACACACAAGAACAAAAAGGGAAGTGTCCCCACATGACATTCACCTTTATACCTCTTCCTCACCAGTGTTGCCACTCTGGGGTTACATAGAATTTCAAATGTTAAGAACTTTTACAAATTACATTAAAACATGAACTCCCTTAATTTATATCAGTTACGCACTAACAGTTTAGATTACTTAAATGTTTAAATGGTTTAGTGGCAGTTTCGTTAGCACGTCAGCAACATTATCGTCACTAGTCACATAAATTAATTCGAATTTATTTTCCTTGATTTGCTCATTTATGAATACTATACTTCTCACCATATGATTTGATATCTTCTTTGTCATGCTAGATTCGCCCATAAATATGGCAAATTATTATTGCTATATAGTGGTACCTCAGGATACGAAATTAATCCGTTCCGAAACTGAGATCGTATCATGAAAATGTCGTAAGGTGAATCATCTTTTCCCATACCAGAAAGTATTCGCGACTTATATAAAAAAAAAAAAAAATATTCTAACATATCACATAGGTTGCAAAAGACAATTGACATCATCCCATACTCAATACACTAAATCTGTACGTATAAAATGCATCAATACTCATTACATTTGTAGAAAACACAATGCAGAACGACACAATACCTCAGACTTTTCACAAATATACAAAATAGAAACGTTAGAAGAGGCATTTTCCAGGTAAATTCTATAATTTCACTCTCGTTTTAAATCTATTGTATTCTAGTTTCTAGTTGTATTTTAATTTCAAACTCGTTTTAAACCTATGTATACCTATTTTATACCTANTATGGCAAATTATTATTGCTATATATAGTAGTCTGGTGGTTTGATTTTAATATTCTGTGATCTTTTCGATCACAGAAGGTTAAAATCAAACCATCTGACTATTGTAATTGTATCAGATGAGTAATTGTAAATAAATTTCCTCTCTTATACTGGTTACTATAATATTTATTCAGACTTTTCACAAATATACAAAATAGAAACGTTAGAAGAGGCATTTTCCAGGTAAATTCTATAATTTCACTCTCGTTTTAAATCTATTGTATTCTAGTTTCTAGTTGTATTTTAATTTCAAACTCGTTTTAAACCTATGTATACCTATTTTATACCTATTGTTTTTATACCTTTTATACCTATTTTATACTTATTGTTTTTATACCTTTTATACCTATTTTATAGCTATTGTTTCTATTCTATTTATATTATAATTTCACTCTCGTTTTAAACCTGTTGTATATTACACAAAATACGAATATACCATGAAACGTAGCAAAACAACATAATATAATCTCACGTTACATACTCTACATAGAAACAAACTTTATGTATTTACATATAGGTAAATCATTTATTAGAAGTTACACACATTAATTGCTAT